CAGTTGATATAAATGTCTTCTATGGGTCTGCAAGAAAATGATCAACATATTTGACTTCTCCCTTAAACTTGTGAAGCAAATACCATTTGCCTGTTCAAGTCCCACTTTTTCAGCAGAAGGAAGAAGCAAGTTTGCCTGCACTTTCAAGAATTAGATAGTTTATTTCCTCCTACCACTTTTCTCTTATTCAGCATTAAGGACCTTTAATGCTCAGGTGACCATTGTGTAATCTTCTGTCACTCTCTTATCATATTCTTCATCATGCCTAAGATAAGTTCCTTCTAAATTCCTACAAAACAAGATCATTTTTCTTCTTTAAATTTCTTCTTCAGATGATCCTATGCTATGACACCTGTAAATCACTTGCCAGCAGATGGACAGTCATTGCTCTGATCATTGTATATCACACTGACTAATTTTGTGTCCTTATTTCCTTCTTCTCTGGGACATGGTTATGTCCCTCTATTGTTCATTGGCTTGTTTTTAGATTGTAAATGCATTAATCTTCTGTGTGTGCACTTGTTCGCATTCTGGACTTTGCCTAGGCTTTTAGGCATTCCTTCAGTATAAATAATTTTTTTATAATTAATTCATAAATGAAATGTCAGTAAATGTTAATAAAACAATGCAAACTTTGGAACATTCTTCCTCCTATCATACCACAAGCAAAACAAATGCATACACCCAACTACACTGGCCACAGTTGAAAGCAACAACATACAAGACACTGTTGTGATCTCAAGAGAGAGGAATGAGCATTCAGATGGAGATGTAAAATGGAGAAAATGCCATGGAGTCAGTCACCCTATTCCTGTGATCAGAAGAAAAGCAGGCAAATAAATAAATCAAAAGAATGCTGATGCATAGACATACAGAGAGAGGTTTTTTTAACAGAACCAACAGCATGTTGTCAAAATGACCAGCCTTTATTTTTTTCTTGTAATTTCCAAGCAGTACCTGAAATTTGCATAAATTAAAAAAGGAAGCAGAGTCAAAACAAGCAGGATCAGTCTTCCTAGGTTTTACTGAAACCTCTATGTAGATTACAACTTCTGTAGTTCTAGCAATAGTTTTCATTGTACCACTATCAACCCTTTATTAAGTGCATCTCAGCTGCTTACGTGCTTTTGACACATCCGGTTGTAAAAGAAGCTTAAAGCTACTTATTGCTCAGTACTTTCTTCATGAGAAAAATAATAAAAAAAAAAAAAAAAAAAAAAAAAAAACACTAACCTTCATGCTGATCTAACTGAGATTGCCATAACAAGGAAAGGAGAAAAAGGAAATAATCTAATGTATGAACTAATGTGAACTTGTGGTATGTGAGCTTCATAAACCAGGTAGGTCAGTAGCAGGGAACTGCTGCCATAAACCACTCCCATATAACACTGTTTTTATTTGAAGATGATAGGGAGAGGGAAAGGAAGTGAAAATTCAGAGCGAAGAATTCTAGAGATAAAGATTAGAAAGAAGGAATTGCAAAATAGTTAAAAGAGGTTTTCATTATTTTTTTACTTTAGGATTTTTTGCTGAGGTATATAGAGAGATTATTTATTCAATTTTTAAAAAATATATATTTTAATAAGTAAAAGATGACATTTCTGGGATTCATTGTCAATAAAGGATGAACTGCATGAGAAGCAGGAAACTTAAGGGAGCATTTGCATACTGATATTTTTGTCCTTCCTCAAGCAAGGGCTTTATGGTATTTCCTTTCCTTTTAACTTAGGAGAAACTCACTATTTTACACAACTACTTTGCTTAAGTGACAGTGGATAAACCCTTCTCTCTCTTCAGGAAATCCTCTGGATTTGATTTCTCTAATCTGATGATGCTTTTGAAGGAATGAATAAAGAGGAATAACTCATGCTTAAATTTTGTATAGACACAGATAGTCTGCAAGAAAACCGTTTTGGTCTTAAAATCAGGGAAGATATATTACACCAAAGCATTTTTAGAAACAGACACAAATTCTCTATGAGGATGAATTTATCATCCAAGATGCTAGAATAGGCTGAGATGAATGCTGACTTTGTGCTCACACTACAGAATAATGAAACACTGATGTACAACACCTGACAGCTTTTAGGAAATAAATGCTTCCCAACTGGAACATAAGCCCTCTCAGCCCTTGCTGCTTAGCAATACATATGGCAAGAAGAATCCTGGTTTTATAATTAGGGCTCAAATGGCAGTGGTTCCTCATAGTAGCATCCTTGTCTAAAGTCTTCATCTCTAGAGTCTGATTGCCATTAAAAAAACATTAAAAGCCCTTTATTTGCTGTGCTTGCATGGAAAACACAGTGTAATCCATGCAGTGTTGTCTGAACATTCTCTGCATATGAAAACTGTTATGAAATAACCATGAGATAGAATTAGAATTTATCACTTCTATCCAGTCTACAGATGCTTCCTACGACTCCTTGGGATGTCCCCATGCCACATGTAGAAAGGAGAGGAAAAGTACTGAAGTAAAATCATAGAAGACATCCTGTTCAGGTGAGGTCTTGTCTGCGCAGAGGAAATCGCCACCTTCAGGGCTGGAGGGTGCAATGAAATTCACTGCCATACAGTCCAAAAGAATAACTATAGAATATGTTAAAATTGTTTGTGTAAAAAAAAAAACCTAGGGGCCACCAAAATCCACATTTTTCACTGGAACCTTCAATTAGGAACACTTAATCTGAAAATGCCTATCTATAAAGCAGTGTGAATTAGAATTAAATACTAGAATTACTAGAATATTACTAACGTACTAGAATTAGATGACCTGATTTTCAAAATAATGTTCACATGAAAGTCTCTGTAAGGTCTTATATAGTATATAAATAGTATTTGGACAAGTCATATATAAGATAAATTGAATGAAACATTTTCCCCCCCGACGTTTAATTTATAGAAAGCTCAACATTTTTCTCAATGAGAAATTAATATGTTTTCAAAATCATGGTAAAACAGTTACAGCTTGTGACAAATTCAAGTGGCAATTATCACAACAATCACCTGAGCTTTTCTGAGAGTTAGTTTACACCATGTAAAAAATAAACTGTGTCAGTACTCTAGAGTAGATTCAGAAGGCCTTTGAGCAATATTGTGTTCTGTCTTGCCTAGGTTCACAGACACTCCTTCAGTGTTTTTATCAGAAAACAGTTTGCAGCTGAACACCAGCAGTTAGGACCCCCAGCAATGACAAGCCTCTGTGATTTACTTCTGATTACAAAAGTGTACTACTCCTGTTGCCATGCTGTCTGGGAAAAGCAGATCAAAGACCTTGAAATTTCAGAAACATGCCACCAGTTTCTTCACCCAAGCAGCGAGCCAAACGTTCAGCGTCTTGCGAATAGATACAGTCAGGATGCTGTTGTTTCTCTGAGGCAAGTATTTGCAAAGAGGACTGAAAGTTCCACTCCTGTGAACCCGGGGAATCTTGACAATAAGAGGCAACAACTTTAAGCAGTTATTTTAGTTAGCATTAAGCCCAAATGTACTCATTCTCTCTCAGGGCAAAATTTTGCTAGTTATTCAGGTTAAGTCAGTCCTGGGTCTCATTATTTTACCCCACTGCTTTCTTCCCAGTGATGCCCAGCTACTGTTTGAAAGTTATCCCATCACCCTGCCCCAGCTGAATTTCCTGAAAAGGCTGTTGTTTGTCATACCATGATTACCTTGGTTGGTCAGACCTTTACATGGCATTCCTGCTGAAACAAATGAGACACCATGAACCTGACCTTAAGAAATCTGTCATTAGGCTTGTGTTGCTCTGACACTCCCAGAATGCTTGTTAAAAAACACAAACCAACCTAAAAACCAAACATGCCCAACAAATCAAAACAAAAACCAAACACAACAAAGTTTATCAGGATCTCAGCATAAGGTCATGCTCACACAAGGAGTCAAGTATCTCAAATGGTTGGTTGCTGTTTGGGTGGTGCCACAAATCATCATTGCAAGGGCCCTTGCAGAGGCATCTTCAGCTGGATCAAGTAAGACTTCCCACTCTTCTGCTCTTATAATCTAGTTGCCCTATGGTGATTATGTAAGAATCAAACAGCATATACAAGCCAGTACAAAAAGATATTTCAAATTTGGCACATTACAGCATTTAACTGAAACATCAGCTTAGTCCCGATGGCAGTTTGAACATGTAAGTGAAGAGCTGGGGCTGAGCTGCAATTCCTCCTTCTTAGGCTTATGCATCTGGGCATGGTGTCACACGGGTGAAGAACATGCTCAGTCTGGAATTAGCAGAGCCTTAGACAGGAACAGACTCAGTTGATCACAGCAGAGATGAGGAGACAGTGTAGAAGAGAAACTGTATCTGTGAGAGGTTAAATGGTCACATGGCTGCAAAACTCCACATGGCATAAGAACGTGTGTCACAAAGACCAGGGCTGAGCGCTGATGGTCCCCCAGTTCACAGGAACTCTGTCCCTAGTTTCAGACCCTCCAGTGTCCTAAGTACTTTCATGCCTGTTTCAGAAAAAGTAATTGATTTATGGGTTGCAATATGTTGACACAGTCACAATTCACTACTTACGAAAATTACTAGTTCTTATTGCCAGAGCATATCAAACATGAGGGAAATATGTTAATGGCAAGACTCCTACATCTACATGTAAACATATAAGAGTCTAAATGGAAGGGAAGTATCTAAGCTCTAGTTACAATAAATGAATGCTGTGGCAGGATTCAGTTGCCCAAGCAAAGGCATCTAGTGCTATCTGTAACACACTCAACCACCTCTTCCAGCCTCTACCTGCCCTGCTGGAGAGGCATGACTCTTGAACTCAGCCAGAGCAGCATGTCTTAGAGTAGGGTGCCTCAAACATCCAAGATACTTGTTTCATCAGACAGCTCCAGTCTCTTATACAGCATTAACCCTGCACAATAGAGGCCCCAGTCAACAGTCAGTTCAAAGGTCCTTTTAAGATGCCTCCAAGACTTAGGGGATATATTTTATAGAACATACACAAAAAGAGAAATTAAGGGTGAAATAAAGATGAAATAAAAACTTTTAAAAATATTTTTTATTTATTCATGGTACAAAAGACATATTTTCTCCCTGTACCCCAATGGATTGCCTTGGGCAATCCCTAAAGCAAAAACATCCCACTATGGACATCCCACTTCCACCACTATCTTAGACCACACAGCCAACACTAACACTGATCCACCTTGTGAGCACACATGTTTGTGTTTACAAGTGATACATCTAGAGAAGCCAGCTAACTGAGAAGTTGTTCAGTAGTAATCTGATGGAACAAACTGTATTGTGAAATCACTGAACTGTCTGTACTTTGCAAATAGTTGAGGGAGAATTTGCTGAGGCATAATAGATATTTGTTGATCACATTTGATGAGAAATAGAGCATTGGCCTCAGAGGCAGCATACAAATATTTACAGAAGTAAACCATGACCAGGTACTCCAATAAAGTAGTTCCATAGTATCTTTATCCACCGCTTATTGACAGTTAACTATACTGCACAGTTTACTATGGGATGGTAGGTGTTACTTAGTAATTTAAGCAACTAAGAAAATACCAAATTACAAGGACTGTGATACTATAGAGTTACAGATTCATCGGGATGACTGAATATCAAAACTACATGTTTACTCCCAGTGTTGCGCTGCTCCAGAGACCCCAAGCATTTTTGAAGACACAGTTTAGGTCTAGAAATTGTTGAGTTAAGGTCCCAGTCCAGAAGTCCAATATTTTTCATCCAGCAAATTCCAGAAAGAAGTAATAAAGGCATCCTTTAAGGAATCTTCTCTGATGTCAAGACCTGAGAAGCATGGCAGCGAGTCTAAAGTGGGGAGAAAGAGAATGGCTTAATGAACGAAAATACCACGTTAAAGATCATTTAGCCAAATTAGTAGTTTAGTAAGATTAATGAGTATAAGGGGTCATAGTTCATCTTAATTAAATGGCAGCTTTCAAGATAAAATTCTAAACAACTGATATTTTTAGATATAAATCAAATCTTTGAAAAGAGGAAAAAATCCCCAAAACCAAACACACCCCCCACCCCCCCCTACAAATCTCACACTATTCTTTTTACTGTGTCTGGAATTTTAAAGCTTTTGCAGTAGGAGGAAGAGATGATGGCTGTGTTTCACTGATATTTAATATGTTCAAGGCCAAAAAATACTTAAGACAATACCTTATTTCAATATACAGACATTAAATAAAGTTGAGCAGGTGATTCAGTCAACTATTATTTCATAGTTTAAATAAAATTCTGTCCTGAAGCTTGAACATGCTGAACAGTGCTGATAAGACATCACAGAATTAGAACATAGGTCCTCAGAATCAATTTGTTAGTGTAGGAAAAAGAAAGCCTAAGACTTCTAAGGTCTTAAGTTACAATGCCCAAAGTGAAACATGTGGATAGGATTTATAAAAATGCCAACAGCTCAAGCATATAAGTTGCTCAGAGCTCTGTTTTGAATATATGAAGTTCTAACTACTTTCAGAAAGCAGAATGCACTAGCTCTAGTGTCAAAGCTGAGGAAACACTGGATGGTTAGGCCTCAGTATCTGTGCGTGTTGTTCTTCAACTATCAAAGGCTGATAGACACCATGTAGCTTTACAAAGTTGCAACAAAACCTCTGGATTTTGGACTGTGAATACTTTGTAGGTACCTTATATGCCTACAATAAACTATTTAGGAGAAAATATTATAAGAAAATGAAAAGGAAAAAACCCCCTTATTTATATGTGCAAACAGCTGCAAGCTTCATAAAAGCTTTAGAAGTTGTCAGTTACATCAAGATGGCATGTATTTACATGTAAAACTTCCTTAGTCTTGATATCCTGGGATTACTCAATTCACAGAGAGTAAGCAGAAAGTAACAGAAAAGGAGGAAAGCAAAGACGTGAAAAAAAAAAATCACCATGCAACCATATACGCGTATTCAAGAAGAGATTATCTTAAACTTTTCTTAGACAAACTATTTTCTTCAGTACTTACAGCCTTCTCTTCCAATGAGAGCACACCATCTACAGCCACTATCTGGTACTGCTTTTCTTTTAAGCTCCCCATAAATCTCCGCAGCAGTTTGAGACTAGTACCATCACTGTTCTGTTTCAGCAGTTTTTGCATTTCTTGGGAAGGACATCCCGGATCAAACAGTAGCAAACATAAGGTTTTATTCTTCTTCTCTTCTATTCCAACAACAGTACGACTATGACCTAATTTCAAAAGAGAGTTTCTGTATTTTAAAAACGCGTAAATCCCATTCCTTGTAGCATACTAATTTTCAGATCAAGGAAGATATTACTTGAAATTGAGTAAGGTAGTTATAAGTAAAGAGCAGATGTCAAAAAATTGAGATCCAAGTCACACTCAGGTCTTCCACACAATAAAAATACAAACTTTAATGCTACTCTTACTAACTAAAAAAAATAACAGGAAATAAAGCCATACCTTCAATTAAATGAAGAAGGAATATAAAATGCCGCTCTGAATATGCAGCACATACAAAGATAAAGAATAGAAACGAGTATATTGTGACACTGACCTTGATGTTGCAAGTAGATAGGCGGTTTGGAAGTACACACTACCTTTGCACCACATTCATTATCTGTAGAATAGTAATGCAAAACCCACTCAAATAAACGAGGGTGTGTACCCATAGGGCCAGTTGGTTTGTGAAAGTCAATGATTTGACACCTACAGAACATTCAGAATGAAAAGAACAAAATTTCAAGCTGGTTGTTTAAGACAACTTTTTCCACCTCTCAGTCCTTCCCCCCACCCCAAATGTTTTGTAAACAGCAATTACAGGCATCAAGTGGTCACTATCACCTTTTTTTTTTTTTTTAAATACAGGAGTAGGGGACACATGATTACAAAGCATGCAATATATACTGTACAAAACTGGAAGATTTCTTGTTTAACACACACTGTTCAGTCTAACAAGAACTTGTGAAGCTTTCAAAAATTAAAATTTCGATTTTCTGTGTGATACATGTACACTAGAAAATGTAGTTAACAGCTTTCAGAATTATGCAATTGGATAGCTGAAAATCAGATTCTTCTTGAGAAGAAGCTTCCACAGCAATTAAGTTTTTAATCAATGTTTGATTTTATGCACATGTGACATAATTCTTCACCAAGTCTCAATGGTCTATGTATTTATTCAATTTAGGTACCTGCATAAGTAGTTACACAGCTTTATGCTGTGCTAAATCAGATCTGTTTCTAGGTTGGTTAACTTTAAAGCCCCTAAGGTGGCTTTGTCATTGTACTGTTGGCAATTATGACCTTTAAAGGCACAGCACTTAAACCAGCACTTAAAAATAACAACAACAGAAAGCAATATTTACTTTATCCTGAGATTGGTTAACAGTGAATAAATTTCACATGCTCCTATCCATGCTTTAGAACCGTGTAATCTGTTGTTGAAGTGAGATGCCCCATGAGGATCAAAGCCTTCTTTCCAGGCATCTTCAATCATGGACTGAATCTTCGGTATACTAGGAATTAGTGTAGTATCTGGAACAGAAAAGCTTTTGAATTGTGGTTACAGTTACTAAAATAGTCTATTAATTTAAAATATTCAGCTTCCTTTGTAAAAGGCAGTCGATGATACAAAGATGCACCAAAAGACCTAAAGCTAAAACTTCAGCCACATCATGCCCTGACAGCATTTACCCCTCTGATTCTTCCCACAGGAAAGATGCAGTGGTATAACAAGCATTTATTAAATCTCATTGACCTAGTAAGCCTTGCTGCATAAATGAAAAGGTAAAAAAAAAAAACCAACCCAAACCAAATCAGTCAGTAGGTTGTCATCCAATGTACATGAAAAAAATAGGCACCATTTTGTTTAATACCTCTCAAGCAGTCATTATACAAGCTGTTTTGCAACAGTGAGGAAAGGAGCATTTGGAAATTCCTGTAACCGCAACCCCAGCCTCTGTCGCCTAATGATGAGTGGAAGTGATCTACTCCTGCTGAAAGCCATACACGCCTCACATCTTTGTTTTCATTCTGATAGTACTTGCACAACGCTTCAATGACTCCTAAAAGAAGACCAAATATAAAGTTTATCATCTGTAAACTTAACTACAAGATTTGCCAGAAAAGGATTCTTTCCGCAGCTTGGAACAGATACAAATTAAGACAATTTATTTTAAAACTTCTAAGTGATCCTACATTGCATCTAGAACCCCAAACCAATGGACAATGCACCTATTTCATTTCAATGGTCTTTACTTTGATGAATTTATGTGCTACAAAGCTTTCAGAATTCAAGCTGCTACACAATATTTTAAATTAAACAGCTTGGACTACATTATAAAGTGTGATATGCACAGGAACTATTACAGGAAAGGTAATGTCACCAATAAAGCACTTCTATGTCCCTGCCACCTCCAGTATAACATCCTCTTAAAAACATGGAAATACTTATGCATTCCTCCCCAATTATTTTTCCTGGAGAAACTAAGACAAGAAAAGGAATGGGACAGAATTTGAGAATTACTGTAAATATTATTTTAAAATCCACTGGCAGGATATTCCAAAACCTCCTTTGTTACATGAAAGAACATGCTTGGGAATTTTCTCTCCAATTTGTGTATGTAAATTCTCAAAGGCTCTTTATTGCCATGTTATTGTGAAGACAATCTTTCCATATCCATCAGAGATTATTTTCTGAATTTCTCTCTGATGTCTAAATCATTACCAAGAATTGAAACTTTAAATCATAGAATGGTTTGGGTTGGAAGGGACATTAAAGGTCAACTAGTTCCAATCCCCTGCCAGGGGCAAGGACACCTTCCTCCAGACCAGACTGCTCGAAGTGCCTTCCAACCTGGCCTTGAACACTACCAGGGAGGGGACAGCCACAGATTCTCTGGGCAACCTGTTCCTGTGTCTCACCACCCTCACAGCAAAGAATTTCTTCCTTATATCTCATCTAAATCTACCCTCTGTCAGTTTAAAACCATTACGCCTTTTCCTGTCACAAAAGGCCCTACTGAAAAGTCCCTCCCTATCTTTCTCATAAGCCCCCTTGAAGTACTGTAAGGCCACAATAAGGTCTCCTCAGGGTCTTCTCTTCTCCAGGCTGAACAACTCCAACTCTCTCAGCCTGTCCTCATGAGGGAGGTGCTCCAGCCCCCTGATCATCTTTGTGGCCTCCTCTGGACCCACTTAAGCTGGTCTATGTCCTTCTTATGTTGGGACCCCCAGGGCTGGACACAGGACTCCAGGTGGGGTCATATAAGAGTGAAGTAGAGGGGGAGAACCACTTTCCTCAACTGCTGGCCACACTTCTCTTGATGGAGCCAACCGTATCCTGGGCTGCAAGTCCATGTATTATTTCCACTCAATACATTTTATAGAAAAAAAAATATGTATTTTACCTGTCAAGAATCAAATGGATATTTTGTAAGCTAGAACTACTAGAAGTAAGCTAAAAGACCTTTGAACTGTGGTCTCGGCAAGTAAAGACAAGGAAGGCTTTTGGAAGGGACACAGAAACGCATTGGCACTGTCTTGTATCAATTACAAAACATTTCAAAGAAAATGTATCAAGTAGATACCTACTCCTCCCTGATCTCTCATGAACTTTGTAATCAGATGAACACTGTGCTTACCTGGGACCAGCTTACATAGTACCACAACTAACTGAAACACAAGATTAAAAAGCTACTGTAAATTTTAACAGCTACACTAGGTTATGAACAAATAAGTAGTAAGTAGTGACCAACCATACGCTCAAGGACAACCAACTTGTAATAAGACATTTGCATCTTTTGATGGATATTGTATTTGTGCCTTTAACCAGACAACTTGATTCCAAGGTTCCATAGAAAAAGAAAAGAAGAAAAAAAGTCTTCTGATTAGAATAAAGACTAGAAACATACCAAGCTTTAATTTCCTTACTAATTTAGGACTATAATGGTATAGATTGATCTAGAAATTACATATTACAATTCAGATGCAACTAACATTAAACATGCAATTATATACTTTGTTAAAAACAGGTTTGGTCACTACAATCTAGGTCCAGAAAGTACAGTCTTCGTTGCATATGATTTCACCATTTTTACCTGAGGTCTTTGTTTTCCCATCATCTATACCAAAAGCCAAACATTCCATCATGTCTGCTTTTTTCTTGTGATACTCAAAAGGTTGCATCCTTCCTCTATCAACCTCCCTTTCCATATTCTTTAGGAACTGCTGCTTGTAGCCTCCAGAATTATCCAAGCCATACTGTCTCTGTTAGGGATGGAATGTGCATTACTTAAATCACACTTCTTTAAAAATCCACATTTAGTGATTTTGAGAAGCTGCATGCACAATCAGTAACTTTGAAAAATAGTGAACTGTGAGACATAAAAACTTCATCTTTATGCCACTTTACAGATGAAGGCCAAGCTTCACTCCTCAATAGGAACGTGGGACCAGGAAAGCCACACCTTGAAGAACAGGCACATCCCTCTGCTCCCTCTCAGGCCGAGAGGCAGTCAATGGCCAGGAGGTTGTGAGAGGGGAAAATGAACTCTCAGGGCTGTCAGGTAGGAGGGAGAGGGAAGCGGGACCTAACAGGGGAGTGGTCACTGGAGCAGGTGATGGCAACCAGGAAGAAGATAGCCAGGATGTTCGGGGCCTCAGGCACTCTGTCAGGGAATATGCTCCAGGCTGCACTGCAAGGCAGAGCACCAGAGCTGAGTGGAGCACAGTACGAGGTGGCAGGCATGCTGGGCCCCCAGTTAGAGCAGCAGGGCATGCGCAGGGAGCCCCACACCTCAGCCTGAGCCAGCACCACTCAAAGCAGTAAAGCCAAGTAGCTCAAGGCAGGCATGCCCAGCACCTGTGCAAGGATGGGGGCTGCTGAGAGTTTGTGTTTGCCTGCAACCCACTCCTGCACCCCCACCTCAACACTGCCTGTCTGACTGCACAGGTCCGACCTGATACAGCTGTTCCAAGTCATTACAGTTCCAAGATACTCAGCTTCTAATGGCAAAACTATTCAGAATTTTATCATTTAGAAATAATACTGTACCTGCAGCTTTTTAAATTCTTCTCTTTCTCTCTTCTCCTCTTCCGATCTCTGCCATTTATCTTCTTCAGTTTGGAGCCGTTGAGCCAGTTCTAGATCTCGTATGTTTCCACCTACCCAGGGATAACATTCCAAATAGAGAAGACTTGATCAGGAGGTTAACAATGCTTTGATGGATCATTTATTTAATTTTTAAAGAGTCTTTTCTAAATCGACATACATAAACACAACTGGACATTATTTTTAGGAACTATTTTGAGCTATTAGCAACCAACACTAAACAGGACTGACTGCCTTCAGTCTACCAAGACTCAGACTCTTGACTTGGACAAAGTTTGTGCAGTTACAGAAGCAATTACTTGGCAAATAATGCACATACCTCTACTACTAAGACAACAGCTTTTGTTTCCTACGTTTCGCTTAATTGTTAGTGAGAAGTCCCAGTTTCTTGAATACCACACACTTACTAGCTTCTAGGATCACTGCCAACAGTCTCATAACAAAGTGACAAAAATAAAAAAATTAAGAATCAGAGAACTGGAATGGGAATCTCTAGGATTTTATCAGCCATGCTAATAAGTAAAATTAATTTCGATTCCTTTGCCTTATCACTATGACTAATGAATCAGAACAAGCATTTAGAGAACAGAATTGAGGGGGAAAAAAAAAAAGAAGTTTTCATAAGCTGTAGATTTTCAGCTCACCACACTGTAATGCACAACTCTAAATTCCATGTATGTACACCTATAGAGCTAGAAAACAAAGTATAATATGGCTTTCTTTTAAACATTTTTCACTCCAAGTGTTAGTTTTGGCTAATATACAGTGCATTTACTTAACACGCATGCACAGACAAAGGTTTCTTTTAGCATATGTAATTAAGTAGAGCACTTGGGCAAGTGACAAGACTTGCTATTAGCTATGTTATCTTCATTATGTATATGTCCAGTTTTCTTTTAAAATAAGTAATTACTTAGTTTAAATTTTGTCTGAGATTCTATACTGCAATGTGCAAATAATTGTAAATGCTTTCAAGTATTATCAAGACTGTATCCTTTCATGTACCTTCTGAAAAGCTTTGTTCCTCTAAGTGCAAATCCACATGTTCTTCAAGAATCTGAATGTCTGTACATGTAAGACTGCACATTGGACATTCATATAGGTGTTCACTATTTTCTGTGTCTGAAAAAGAAATACAATTTCTTGATTAATGCAATTCCTTGGTTTTGTGAGAATCACCCCCCTAAATTGATATCCAGTCTACAATAAACACTCAATGAATTATTTTTGTGTTGACACTGAAACTCCCCAGCAAAAGGCAGCAAATTCTAAACAGCTGTTACTCTTAATCAAGTTTTGCCCCATATAGATCACAATTTGCCATGATAATAGTTGTATTAAGCAATGTGTAGTCAAACTGTTAATCAAAAGATCCATTCTGCTAACAAAAGAACACTTGCTTAAAAAATTTAATATTTATGCAGTAACACAGCAGTTGGCGGGCAGAATGAATGAAGTAAAACGTGCTGTCGTTCTTACTTTGTTGGTCTTCCTGCATCTCCTCAAATACTCTTTCTGCAGTTTTAGTATTATTACTGAAGAGTAGCAAATAAAATAGCTAAGGTCCAAAAGGACTTCTGGAGATCATCTAGTCCCTCAAAGCAGGGTCAAATTAAACGGGTTAAGTTATAAAGGGCCTTTTCCAGTCAGTTTTCAACTAACTCCAAGGACAGACATTCTACAAGTTCCCTAGACAACTTATTCTGGTGTTTGGCCAGTTTCACAGTAAAAAAAAATAAGTGTTCTTGTTTAAATGGCATTTCCTGTATTTCAACATGTGTCCACTGCCTGTTGTCCTGCCACTAGGAACCACAGAGAAGAGCTTGACTCCATCTTTATTGCCCTTGAGTCCCTGGAATTTACTTGCACCTTCCTAGGTTCACAAAACACAGGAATTAATATGCTGTGTTAGCTGTTTCTGGAAAGCATTTGCCCAAGCTAAAAGTTCATGACTGGCTAGAGGGAAATGTGATAGTATAATAACCTAAAGTCACCAGCAACATTTTGCACAACACTGCAAACATGCAGTTTCCTGAAATACACTATGTACATTAAAAAAACTCATACCCACCCCTAATACAACTGCTTTTAAAATAGAAATTGGCATGCAGGCAAGCATGTTATTTATTCAAGCTCTGCATTATTTATACCCACAGAAGTAAGATATTATTCAGTGCTAATATCTGGCTTATGTTCTGTTGTTTTTTTCTTAGGAAAAACTTTTTTTAATCATGGACTATGCAGTGTGGTTGATTATACTGCCACATTCTGCATCCTCATCCTCCCTAGTTTTTCTTGTCAGTATACAGAGCTTGATGTAACAAGAGTGTTAGTCTTCGAAGAAAATTACCCACTAGCAGAAATGCCATTACTAGGTTTCTGAAATAGCTACCAGCAACTTTGGACAGTTAAGTCAGAATAAAATTCTGACCACACTTAAAGTTGTCGAATAAATGTTTTCCTTACTCCAACTTTAAATATCCTTGTAATCTCCAAACCAACATTTAGTACTTCAGGATACTTTGGTGCTGGATCTCTCCTAAATCTCTACTTTAAACCGAAAACTGCCTTTCCCTAATGCATACTGCAACCGCTCTACATGATCCTATAAAAGATGAACCTTCAAGAGCTGAAGTCAAACCTTTGCAACCACACATAAGTTCAATAGGTAAAAACCACCTCCCTGTCACACAAAGGCTTTACAATTTACTTTCATTGATACGGAAGGTGTATTCTGGGTGTGCAAAACACTGCAGGTTCGCCTGCTCGTCTACATTAGTGTTCCAGTTCTGCTCTGGAGCAGGTTTTTCAAGTGACATCCCCACCGCCTTCACCCCCTGTCCCTTCCTAAGCGACTTCTTCCTACCGCCTTCAGGCGTTGCCCCTGGCCGGCACCCACGGCGGGTCTCGGAGCTCTCCCGCTGCATCCGCCAGGATGAGGACACAGCCGAACGGCCGCGCAGGCAGCGCCCCGGTGCCGTCGCCGGGCGGTCGGTCAGCCCCCGGCACA